ATATCAGTACAACCGGATCTATTCTCCAATCTCATTTGGGAAGAAATACGACCCTAATGGCAACTATATTAGGCATTTTCTTCCAGTTTTAAAAGGTATTCGGCAGCTGCTTTATAACTGTTCATTGGCTTCTTAATTTTGTAGTATTAAAAAGTCCTATTGGTTTTTAGACATGCCTAAGGAGTATATTTATGAGCCATGGACAGCCCCTCCAAGCATACAAGTTAAAGCTAAATGCATTATCGGCAAAGATTATCCAAAACCAGGTCAGTTACCATATTACGTTTAAACTGTCCTGATGTTATGCTTTTGTCAATATGAAGTTAAGTTTAAGAACTTTGAGATTGGAAATGCTGCCATTAGCATTCGGCTTATTTTAGTCCACTTCTAAATGATGCTCTTTGAGAAAAACTGTAGCTTGTTAATCATAACAAGTACTGAAATAAATTTCCATTTGGATTTAATATGACATTGTCAATTGGGATATGAAGTTACTTGCACTCTGCCCTGTTTCAAATGTTTCCTTTTGAAGCTTGTCTCCTACATTTAAGAATATCTGGTGGGACTTATTCTATATTGAAAGCTAAAACCTGTGTTTTATAATCATTTTGAAATTGTTTCTTTCACTGTTTGTATCCAGTTGTCACACATGATGTTGCAAGCAAAGAATGTCGGGGGATATTGTATGAAGCTTATGAGCTGAACAAAAGTTTAAATGGCAAAGTGAGTGAAGAAGATCTAAATAGTTTGAGGAGGAAACTGGATGAAGATAAGAAGCAGAAGCCGAAACCCAAGAGGCTAAAACAGACATTGGTAAATAAGGATGTTTTAATCAGCTCAGAATGATCATATAAACTAGTTATATTTGAGAAATATTATTATTATTATTATGTTATGAGATAAATAGACATTCTTCATTGGTTTACTTTTCTGCACAAGTGATTTTTTTTGTTAATGACCCCTGTTGGTTTTAGGGTGCGATTGGTTATATAATAAACCAGTTATCTCTTGCCGATTTTTTTTGTTTTATAATTTTTTAATTCAAAATTTAATTCAAATTGAACTCATTTCAACTATCCTTAATATTATAAATATAATTAAAATATTACTAATTAATTATCTTCATACATTACATTAAATTTAATCATTTTTATTTTTAAAAATTAACTCGCTTTATTCTATAAATTAAATAAAAAACTCAAAATATAATCAAAATTAATTCTGAAAATCCACTTTTACATTTATTTGGTCGCACAATTAACGTGTTTTGAGATAAATCAGATGATAAACCAGAAAAAACATAGTTGCCATGACTTTTCAAAAGATTGAAAAAAATGAAGTAATAACTATTTTTACATGTTCCAAGCACGTAAGATTTCAAAAATAAAAATGAGTCGTAGGTCCACGTTCACGTACGTGACTTTTCAAATATAGAAATGAGTTGTAGAGTTTATTAAAGATTTTTTAAAAAAATGATAACTACTTTCCTAATTATATAGTAGATAGATTCCAAGCCACCAGAAGTCATGAATCAACATGTAATATAAGATTCTTAAAGCTCAACGCAACCTAGCTACATTAATATGTACGAGAATTTTAGTCATAAATTAAAATAAACGTTGGAATGTTCAAAGATAAAGTTATTGTGTAGGATAATATTCGAGCTCAGCACAACCTATAATAATGCGTAGGATAACATTACTCATATAGTAAATTGATAAGATAGATTGTAGACATATTAAAATTGTTTTTTTTTTTTTTTTNAAAAGGAAAGAAAATATGATGGTAATTGCAACCACTCCTTTTAATGTTGCCAGATTTTGTTTCGAAAAATCTAGTAATGTAGAAGTGACATGCGTCATATTTACGTGCATTTTATAGTGATTTTCGTGTCCGTTTCGTCGTAGTTTGATATATAATTAGTGATTGTTTAATTAATTATTATATAATTAATTATGTATTTAATTAATCTTATTAAGCTATGACGAAGGTGTTCTATTTTGAGTTTTAACAGAAAATATGGTCGAATGAATTTTTGGAGTCGAAAACGACGAGAATTGATTAAAAACGATGTGCGAGCTGTGCGTTGGGACATGCCCAATTACAAGGCCATATATAAGTGAAGGAAATCAGCCATTTACAGCATATTGGGCCAAGAATTGAACCAGCCATTATAGCCCATTTGATGTTTGGTGTGCATTTAGGCCAGCCCAAAAACCATTCAAGTGAGAGGCAATGTGGTAATTTATAGATAATTGGCTTCTTCTTCCTCATGACATATGAGATACACGTACAGAACACACGTCCACCATTGTTGAGCTGCGGGTAAGCTATTCTTGCGCCATCATGCCATTATCCAGCCACCAAACACCACCTTGCCGGCCGTCTCTGCCAGAATGTCGCCGGAGAAGAAGCTTGAAGTTGCTGTCCGCGCCGAAGGAATCCTGGCAGCCGGAATCAGCCGGGAACCGCCATGGCCGGCCACCTGGAAGTATGCTGACCACCTGGAAGCAAGGTACGACCACTGGGAGATGCCTGAGAACCCGTAAAACACGCCAGTAACTGAAATCCGCGCCGAAAATGGAGTTTAACACTCCCAGGTACACACGGGTCGTGTCAGCCCGAGACACGGCTCGTTTCGCTCCGACGGGTCGTATAGCGCGCTCTCGACTTTTCCACACGACTCGTGTGGCTTATGACACGAGTGGTGTGACCCTGGGCGCATTCCATACGCGTTTTACGCGTTTTTCCGATTTTTGTGGTATTTTCGACCTATTTCGACTAGGACTCGACCTCAATTATATATATAACCTTTGGACACGTTTTTGAGGAGTCTGGGACATATTTTCAGATCTTGGGAGACCTTTGGAGGAGAGAAACACGAGCAAGACGAGGGAGAAAGCCGGGAAGAAAGGATCGACGGAGCCGAATAAGCTTTTTTCTTTCTTTTTCTCTTTTCCTCTTTCGAACTCAATGTTTTATATCTATTTTTCTTATTTTGAAAACATGTTTCTAGGCTAGATTTATCTTAGATTCTAGGATTTGTTAGTACTCGGATTGATTTATGATTTAGTTTTTATTTATTTCATTCCGGTTTATCTTTCGTTTATAAATTTCTTTTGCTTATTATTATTGTGTGAGTAGATGGCCACTATGAATGCATATTTGTGATCGATTTGAGACCCAGAGGAGATAATTGATTGCTAGAATTGGGAGATTTATAACGTAAGAGAATAAACAGACCGAGAGGTTGATAGGACCTTGCGAGAGAACGAAAATCCTAGGAACTTATGGGAGTTAGTTGTTCATCTTGAGACCGAGAGGAGATAGATAACAATTAATATCTACGATTTGACTTGTTCGAGAGAAAGGTTTGAAATCAATTTAGCGATTATCTCTACAATTGGTAAAATTAAATAAGGTTTGTTTGAATATAAACGTTTCATGAATTAATTCCGAGGAACGCTTAGCCTAGAATCTACCTTTTGTATCTTATTTTATTTTTATTTGTTTAGATAAATTAGTTTTTAGTTTAATTCTTAGTTTAGAATCATCATTCAATTCATTAGTCTAGATAATATTTAATCGTCGTTATTTTAGTATTTAATTAATTTAACTATAATCTCTGTGGAATACGACCTTGCTCACCACTACCTATAGTTACTCCGTACACTCGCGGATAGCGAAAATAATTAGCGAACAAGAACCTAACAGTTCCATTAGTTAAAGACTACATATAACCGTATGTTCAATGGTTCACCTCTAATTTATAAATAATAAACAATAAACATGCAGTCTCTCATGCGCCGCCATGTCGGGCACACTTGCACATGTAAAACCAAAAGTTATTTTGTTTTCTAGCTCTCTTGGTCCTATTAATATAACCATTTAATCATTACTATATTGCAATTTTTTGGTTACAAGTTGGTAATTAATGTGATTGATGACACCAACGGTGAATATTCTTTCCAAGTTGGCTATTTTGTGAAAAAGGGACCCAAAAAACTTTGGAGATATCTTTTTTCTTGATCTTTTTGCCCATATAAAAATGAAGGATTATATTCTTGGGTTTTTTAGACTTTTGGGGTGGCTTTGGGAGCCCGCTTAGAAGTTGGAAAACGTTGCAATTTTTAAGAAAAAGCTGAGATTTTTTTTTTTTTTTTTATTCTTTAGGTAGGTTTGCACTCTGTACAGTGTGTGTGTGTGTGTGTTTTGAAGTTTAGAGATGTATAAGTAGAAAAACTAGTTGATTTTCCTTTTTCTTTAGATGTCAATAACTTTATAAACCTATCATGACTTTCTTTCTTGCTTGATGTATCACTAGCCTTGATATTAATGATTCTTGATTCTTTTAGGTGTCTTACTAGTGCCATAGTTTTAGATTTTGTCTTTTGTTTTTCCAGTTCTATATACTTTTAGTACAAGCATGTCATTGTATTTCAAATCTTTCAACTACCAACATGTGAAAAATTGTGTAGATAAACATACAAGCCAGAGCCAGGGCAAGAAAAATCCAATAACCCCGGTCAAACTTCCATCGTTGATCATCAAACAAGCCGAAAGAAATGATAAAAATTGTAACTACTTCCCATTTACTGCCCAATCTAACTGCATCGGCATAATCGGAGGCGTATCGGTTGAGTCGAGCCTAAATTTTGCAAAAAAGTTGGCCAATTTTGAGGACATTTTTGAAGAAAAATATAGCCCCCCGCCTTTTATGCTTTCTTGTGATCCATCGCTAAGCGAGGAGCTTTCCTCCCTCGAGAGAGGTTTTTTTTCGGGAAGGAATGGAATGATTAGAAGCTTTGGTCAGAGTTCAATTGTGGAGAAGCTAAAGCGAATGAGAACGTTTCTTGAGAAATCCGGAGTTTGTTGCCTTGCGATGCCATGTCACTTACTACACTCTTGGTATGATGAAATCGAGCAAGGATCTTGTGTTCATTTTCTTCATGTTGGTGATTGTGTGGCCAAAGAACTTAAGGAAGCTAAGCTGAGACCGATCGAAGCTGGAAGTCCGATTCGAATTGGTGTTTTTGCTACTAATGAGAACTTGGTAGCTAGATTTTATCAAGAAAAGCTTGAAAATGAGGTGTTGTTTTAGTTTCTTGACTATGCCTTGTCATCTTAATTTTTAGCAAGTTTCTTTGTTATTTATTTATTGATCGTGTAGTTGCCGATTTTTGCAGGGTTTTGAGGTTATACTACCAGATAAGGCAACTGTAGAGCATATGGTGATCCCAGCAGTTGAAGCAGTAAACAGAAAAGACTTTGAGGGTGCACAAAATTTGTTCAGAATAGCTTTGCAAGTTCTGCTTGTGAGAGCTGTGAACAGAGTCATCCTTGCTTCTGATGATTATCGGCAACTTTTGCCGCCAAACGACCCTTTGTGGACAAAATGCATTGATCCCATGGATGCGTTAGCCCGTTCGTGTGTCAAGTTTGCTCAATCTGTAGGTAATCGGTAAGTGATTATTATTATTATTATTATTATTATTTATGTGAATAAACGGTAAAAGTTCCATTTGGCACTAAATTAGTTAAACCATTTCTTCTTGGAGGGATATGAGAATACGCATGTATATGGACGAAATGTAATGAAATTTGAAGGCATGACCCTTGATCTTTGTATGTATGCATATAGTCTTGGAATCCCATATTACATCCTCAGCCTAAAGGGAAGAATACGAGTCGAAGGGGTGTTCATAACACCTCAGGTGGATATTTGTATTTCTAGAAGAAAGCTCGTGTAAACCAAACTTCGAGACAATATTTATATAGCTTCGCTGCGTATATTTCAAAATCCACCCCGAACACAAAACAGTATAACATATCAGACAATGGCTTAGACTTTCCAAAAAAACATGCATCCCATTTGTAAAATCATTCTACATAAGAATGTATTCAGGATAACAAGAGCAAGAAAAAAGCTGGATGCACAAACTGCTACAAAAGATTTTACCTCCTAACAATTGTTCTAGTTGATGACCTAATTCTAAATGGGACTCTTATATGCTCTTCAATATCTCTCCAAAGCACGTATCAAAACAGAACATGTTACATATATGAATCTAGCTCCAGATATTGCTTAAGATAACATGCGCTTGCCAAACATCTAATTATCAGCATAAATTTGACTGATCTTCGCAATGTCCCAATTGTTGAAATAGCTTCTGCCTTTTGACTCAAGCTTTTGAGCAATGTTGCTTTTGACTTCACTTGGTTCTGCATCTTTGAGTCCTGGAGGGAAGCAGAGTTCTCGAAGCTCTGTACATCAGAGGTAATCAGAATTGGAATTTCAATCATGAAGAAATTAGCCAAGCCAAAGACCATAGCTTTCACATTTAAGTCCATAATAGTATGATCAACTAAAAATTTATGACAGGTGTGTAACAACAGAATTACCATTTTACAACAATTAGGGCACAAAACCTTTACCACCAGGTAAGTCCAACAACATGAAATTAAATAATTCTCAACTTTATATGAATTTTCAGAAAGGCAAGATCTTGTCGAGAGTTGAATAAAAAGGAACACTTTCTTCTGGGTCAAAGTAACAGATGGAAGATCATATGAGCAGCAATTGGATAGCCTAATATGAAAATGTATTTTTTCAACTACTATGATGCTTTTTAAACAAATTTACACTCATGTATGCAGCCATCATGTATCACTCCACAAAAACAAGACTAACAAAAATAATGTGAAGATTAAATTAATCTGATCCTGTTAAGATGCAGAACAAGTGGATCGATGAAGACGATTAAGATACTTGCACAACCAATTAAGATACTCTTTCAGCATGTTAGCAAGGAAAACCATTTACTGCAAGATCTACTTCAACAGAAAACAGCCAAGATTGCAATAGCTGCCGGAAAATTATCGATTGACTACGAAACTAATAACATCACTATGGCCTTCCTATCACACAGCAAGCAAGTCATGTCCATATACAAATACAATTGCAAATTCCCCATAGAATCCACCATAGATCTTCATAAAACGCCATATAGGAAATGATGAAATCAAACTATTGGGCCATTTCTTACCTGCTTTCCCATGAGCATAATTACATCTCACACCATAAGGGCAGCTACCAAACATCATCCACTTTCCACAGAGCCTCGTCTTTCTAAAGTCAAACTTATCATTAGAATCTCTCCTACCAGCGCTCAAGCTCCCCCATGGAATCTGATTACTTGAATTTCTGCAAGACCTTTCACTCAGAACACTTATGGCACAGCCTTCTCTGTTCACACCGTCGCCCCTCATGACTTTCTGTCTGCACTTGTGAAGAAAATTACACCTCTCGCCGTGAGGGCAATGGAGCCCATTCGAGAAATAGTAACACTCTTGCAGTTTTCTGTTCTCATTCAAATGCTCCTTCATGGCAACTGGTCTAAGCTCTGGGTTTCTCCTAACTTCACTCGTGCTATGAGAATAATGACAGTTTTCGCCATAGTAACATTTGCCCACTTGGAAAAGCCGGCACAGCTCCGACTTGTAAGGAATGTCGAGCTTACACCTGTTGACAGATAAGGGTATTCTCGGTTTGGTGTACGAGTTTCTCTCCGAAAATCTAGGGTTTCTGAAAGCGGAACTGGAGTGAACGGCGGCCGATTGGCGGCTGAAATTGGCTGGCCATGAGCGACCATCGTACACGATTTTGCAGCTGGAATCAGCCGGAGGATAAGCCGGACTATCAGTATAACTGTTCATGTTCAAGATTGTAGAGAAAATTCGAAGCTCGAGAAAAGTGGAAACTGTTTTTCATGGGGAAAAATCCGGCGAACCCCTATGAAGCATTTGACGAAAAATCGGGATTTACTGCAAACAGGGAAAGCTCAAATCGGTATCGGCCGTAGAAAGCTCGGGATCTGATGAAAAAATTGAGGGGTTTAAGAGCGAGAAATTAGTCACGCTCGAATGCGTGAAAATGGGGGGAAACGTTTTGGATTCGAGACTAATCATTCATCGAAGCCAGAAGATTTGTGAGCAAATGCATTTTAAAACGGGTTTCATTTCTAGGGTCGAAAGTCAAAATGAAGAATTCGTGAGCAAAGTGTGCAGCCTGCAGAATGGAGCTCTGCAATTTCCCTGAAAATGTTCTACAGGCTTCGTACGAATATGGTCATGCAAGGAAGTGCAGAGCTTGCATTTCCGAAATTGACCCTGAAAGCTTTGTGGCATTTTGTACACGTATCACCTGATGACGATTGGTTTAGAGCCTAGAGTTAGAGGTATGGTAACTGATTGTAATTAGCGAAAGTTGGATGTTT